GAGATTTTTTTTTTTTTTTTTAGTTATCTTCTTGCTTTCTAGCTTAATTCCACTGTGTTTAAGAGAGTAAACTCTATGATTTCAATCCTTTGAAATCTGTCGAGATGGGCTTTCCACCCCAGCCAAGGTCTGTTTTGGCAAATGTTCCGTGTGAACTGGGGGAGAAGGCGCGGGGGAGGAGGCTGTTCTGCAGCCGCTGGGAGCAGAGTCCTGTGGATATCGGCGATGTTGTTCGAATCTATGGCCTTACTGATTTTTTCCAGCCTTTCTCTCAGTTACTAAGATAAATATTTTAAATTCCACAAGACAATTTTACTGTTACAAACGTCTAACATTCATTCAGACCGACCTGCACATGTGCCTTTTTCATGCCTTCCTACGCTCCTGGGCTTCCAATTGGGATCATTTTCCTGCTGCCTGCAGAACCCCCACAGTATTTCTTTTCAAACAAGGTTTGCTGGTGCTAAATTCTCTCAGCCTTTGTTTGTCTGAAGATACTTTTACTTTGCCTCCATTTTTGAAGGAAAATTCTCTGGACTAAAATTCAACTTTGGCCTCATTCATCCAGCAAATATCCGCCGAGTGTCTCACGGGCGCCAGGCGTGCACCAGGGCGGTGGGAGACGTGGTGCTGGGCAAAGCAGACCGAGAGGGACTGTCCTTGCGCTCCGAGAAGAGGAGGGCAGAGAAGCCGGGCAGGGGGAACGGGCTGTGCGAAGGCCTTGCGGCTGGAAGGAACCACAAGGAGGCCAGCGTGGCCAGAGTGGAGGGGGCGAGAGGGCCGCTAGCCCGGGCCGGGGCTGGCCCATGCAGGACGCCGGGGCGCGGTGAGGAGGAATGTTCTGCTGTCACCTTAGAGGAGCAGTCAGGCTTCACGGAGGAGCGGGGACTGGACTGGACCTTGAAGGCGGGCGTGGTGAGAAGCCGCAGAGGAGAGGGCGGGCCGAGAGCAGCGAGGAAGGCCAGGCTTGGCCTGGGGCGGCAGGGTTCAGCCTGCCCCTTCCTCTGCTGCATGACTGGCTTGAGGCAGTTTCCGCTCCTGCCAAGCTGGAATCACGCTTCCTACCGCACAGGGCTGTTGTGAGGGTTAAAAAAACTGCTGCTCCTAAAGCGCGGAGCTCAGGGCAGCAGCCCGCAAGAGCTCAGACAGATTAGCCGTCGCTCTTTCGTGGTTAGGATTTTCTTTTCTACTCTGAGAGTCAGAGAGGGTAGGCAAATCACTCTGCCCAGGCCCCGCAGCCGGGAAGTGGTGGGGCAGGGACTTCAATCTCAAGAGGCAGGTTTGATCTCTTATTTGGGTGGTAGGCTTGGTCATCCTCCCCATTCCACAGACAGGGTCACCGAGGCCCAGAAAAGTGACTTTCCCAAGGTCACCCAACTTGGAAGTGGCAGACCTGCAGTATTCATCTACCCATTGTTTACCGGGCACCTGCTTGTGACAGGCACGCGCCAGCTGCCTGGGAGAGATCTGTGGACAAACAGATAAAAGTCCCTGCCTTAAGCTGGCTGCGGTGGCACGCTCCTGTAATCTCAGTACTTGGGGAGCTGAGATGGGAGGATTGCTTGAACCCAGGAATTTGAACCCAGAGTAGGCAACAGAGCAAGACCCCCCTCTCTGGAAAAAAAAGTTCTGCCTTCAAGAAGCTCCATTCTGCAGGGGGCGGGGGTGTTGGTGGTGAGGGTAGAGGGAGGGGACTGACACTATACAGAATACATAAGCACAGTAAATACATTCATTAAATGGCAGTCCTTATCTGTGGGGAGAAATACAGTTGGGAAGGGCATGGAGCAAGTGTGGTGGGGGGTCAGCGTGTTCCACAGGGTGGAAAGGTGGTTCCTAGGCAGAGCCCGAAGGGCAAGGGAGGGAGCTGGGAGGAAACCTTTGGGAAGAGCATCCCAGGCAGCAGAATGGCAGGTGCAAAGGCCCTGAGGTGAGTGTGTGCCTGGGGTGTGCCAGGAGCAGCAAGGGGGACAGCAGGAAGGCAGAGGCTGTGCACCATGGACGCCAACGGGGCAGAGAGGTCTTGCCAGCACCGATGTTCTAGCTGGTATTTTCCAGGCTGGCTGAGGCTATGGTGGATGGGGTTCAGGTGCTTCATTCCTGTGCTCTTTCCAGCAAGTGGGAGATCATGGGGAAAAGACTTCTTCCAAAGCCTAGGGTGGAAGGAAGTGGGGAGGGAACTCATCATCAGGGCGACCGTCTCCAGATGACCTCTGCCCTGCCCTGCTCCTACCCTGGCTCCTGCTGAACCTGCTGCTGTCTTGTTCCCGGGCCCACTGTGGGCAATACCAGGGCAACCAGGCTTGCATCTAGCAAGTGGGCTCTGGGCATCAGGGCCATGGCGCCTAACTACTCTCCTATTTTTAAAGAACACAGCGTTGCTGATGCCCTGCAGTGCACACCGTCTGGAGAGCAGCTCTGGGCGCCCTTCCTGGCCTCTTCTCACCCCCTCTCCTCCTGGGAACTTCACAGGCCCCCGAGCTGCGACCCAGCTATCCTGGCCCCAAATCCCAGGCTGGTCCCAAGTCCCAGCAGTGCTTCCACGAGTGTGATCTTAACCTCGGCGTCTCAATTGCACAGAAAGGAAGGAAGCAAACGCTTCCGCAGAACCTGCTGCATGCTGGGCATTGTTGTGCGAGATATTACCTCTAATCCTCAAATAGCCTCACTCAAGAGATATCATTAACCTGTCTTATGAACAAAAAATAGATTCAGAGTAGGGAAAGGTTTAGGTTTTACCCAATGTCACCCAGTAAGCAAATGATAATTTTAGTAGTAAAAGGCCATTTTAGTGGTTGCTGGGAGCTGACACAGGCTGATTCAGTACTGGGAGGTGGGTGGAGGCAAAGCCCTGGCCGGAGAGGCCATCTGGAGGTTTGCCCTGGAGCAGACTGGGAGATGTTCCGTAGTGATAAATGGCTTCTCATAACTGAAGAGCTATCAAGAGGCAAAGAGAGATAACCCTCAGGGTAGAAAGAAACTCTACTTGTTAAAGCTTAGGGAAGGGCGACTTTGGGTTCCCGGGTGTCATGAATAAATGCCCTTGTCCAACAGCGAAACTAGCAGAGCAACTTCCATTTGCCAGGGGTGCTGCAGAAGGAATATTCCAGTAAGGGAGGTCGGCCTGGATGTTTCTCTGCAAACTCTCAGACCTGGGAGCTCTCGAATGGCCCAGGCAGGGACTTCTGCCCCAGGCAGGAGGTTTTTGATCCAAATGGTTTCAAGCTGCAACTCTGGCATCTGGGTAGGGTGTTTGCTTTTCACACAGGGACAGTGGCAGGGGGTGGGGTAAGTTAGGGGTGGATTGCATCAGTTCTGGTGTGACCTCTGATGTTTGCCTTTCTTTGTTCCCAGATAAAGCAAACACAAAAATTCATTTTCTTGGCTTAATGAAACAACAGGAGTGACCAGGTAGGTCAGCAGAACACTGGGGCTTTAGTAAAGTGGACACATGGTAGGGGTAGAGGGTAATGTTTGCTGGGAGCCCTCCCACTGGGGGATTTCTGACTCTAGCAGGCTCTGACTGGACACTCTGAGCCAGGAAAGGCTCCTGAGACTTGTAACAGTGGTCAGTCAGAAAACCAGCCCTTAAGCCTGTCTACCCAGCCCTGTCGGTCACTTCCCAGGGGTCAGTTCTGGGGTAATGAGTTTACTGGCATGTATTTCCCTTTTACTTTTGAGGAAAACGCACTCAGTCACAGAGCTAGTGCATGCTCCAAAGCCAGCATCCTGCCTGTCTCCTTGGTCTGCCTGTCCCATTCTATGGATGTTTTGTGAAGACTGGGACCATCTATCTGTAAAGCAGTCACTGAGCAAACAGTGGCTGCCCAGTAACCGCTCAATACTGGTAAGTGCTGCAGGCCAAGGTAGAGAGAAGTGGGGCACTCCAATCAGTAAGCAGCTGATGTTGCATAAGTCCTACCTGGGCTCCCAGCAGGCTGGGTGACTGAGCACATCGTAGGCCCTTTGTGTCTAACTTCCCATATTATATAACACCTGGCTACAAAGGGGTTTTCTTGGGACCCAATTATCTAAACTCTTCCCTCCCACTCGCTCCTCTGCCACTACTCCACAGCTTGCTAGTCTTTTCTCAATTCCCGAAGCACTCTACAGCTGTCCTGTCTCCTGGCCTTTTTGCACATGCCATTCCCCTTCCTTCCTAGAGTCTGCCCTGCCTCCACGCTGGCAGGTCTGGCACCTCCCCAGAACATCTAAGGCAGCATCCCCGCTACCATCTGACCTAGTCCCCAGTTTTTTCCATCATAGTACTTATCCAAATTAAAATCTTTTATTCACGTCTTGTCTTTTGTCTCCGTTAGGAGGCAGTGAGGGCAGGGATTTGTGTCGCTCCCAGCAGACCCTAAAGCACACAGACTTCTTCAGCAAATATTCGCGAGTGAATGAGAGAAGGAATGAAGCAACCAGTGAGGGAGGAAGGGTCTCTGGCTGAGCGAAACATCCTGGGGGCGGCGGGGGCGGGAGGCTGCGGGCTGTGCCTCGCCTGCACCGCCTCCAGGCAAAAGCGAATTTCAGAAGGGGGCGAGGGTCCGGGTGTGTGGCCTGGGCCAAAGTCCAACACCGCAGGGGGCTGCGCGGGAAGCTACTTATACCTAGACCCGCGACCGCCGGCCTCTAGCCCCACCGCCACCAGCCAAGGACAGGGACGCCAGGTCAGTTGGAAGGTCGGGTGCAGGGGCCGGAGACCAAAAGGACAGGGAGGGAGGCCGGACCCAAGGGGACACTGCCGCACGACTGCCTTGGAACCGGCTGGCTCTGCCGCCAACGATACTGGGACTTGTAGTTCTCGGCTCTTCCAGACGCCGTCGAGAGCCCCAGAAAAGAGGCGTTTCTCGGGGCCGGGGAACTACATTTCCCAGAAGGCCGGGAGAGGTTGGGGTCCCGGGAAAGCGTCCCGGCCGGCGGCGCTTCCCCGGCGCTATGGGGTGGGTTCCGGGGCTAGTGGCTGCACGAGGGCCCCGCGTGGTCCCTCCTGAGGCGGCCCCCGGGCGAAAGGATCTGGGGCCCGCGGAGCCGAGCCTATGAGCAGCTCGGCGGCGGGGCCCGACTGCTGCGGAGGCCTCGGCAACATTGACTTCAGGCAGGTACTGCTCGCGCCGCGCAGCTGCGGAACCCGGAGAGGGATCGGGAAGGCGGGCCTGGCGTGCGGCCCGGAACCGCCTCCAACGACGGGTGGGCGGGGCCACCGTTACCAGGCAACGGGGGCGGGGCGTGGTGAGGGGCGGGGCGGCGTGTGTCGGCTGGTGTGTAAGCCTCGGCTTGTGTGTGTGCGCGCCCGCGTGCGCCTGTGAGAGTGTGTGAGGCTGAGGTCGTGTGTGTCTGGGTCTCACATGTGAGTCTCTGGGAAGGTGTGGTCGGAATTGCTCTGAGAGTGTGCCCGGGAGTGTGAGCGTGACCGAGCATGTGCAAGGTGGAGGGGCCGCGCACACATGTTGGGGAGTGTGTTGTGTGCGTGGGGAGCGTGTGCACGTGTGGGAACCCTCGGGCCCTGCTCCCGTCCATCCCCCAGGGCGCGGGAGGCCGCTCCGGAGCGTGCCTGGACCCTGCCTGGGCTAGCTGGTGGCGTGGGCCCGTGGCTCGGGACCTGCTGAGGCTCCCCCTCTGCAAAGTCATAGGCCATGGTTTGCCGGTCCTGGCTTCTGAGGCCCTCACTTCCCATGGGTTTTCCTCTTTCCTGCACTCTCCCCTGTATCCAAGCTCCTGCTTAGATTCTTCGTCCACCCTTTCATCACCTGCTTTTCATGGAGCCAGGAAGATATATCCATTTCATTCCTTACTCACGGTTGCATTTGTTCATTCACTGATATCGTCCTGGTGTCAGGACTGTTAAGGGTCTCCTCTCATTGAGCTTTCATCTGGTGAGGGAGACAGTAGGCCTGGAAACAGAAAGTTCTCTGAAGGAGGCAACGCCAGTCATTGTTTTAGATAGTAACTGGTGGACAGGTGGGATGGAAATCTCAAAATAAGGTGTGTCCCCACTCTGATGGAGGTGACCTGGGAGCTGAGAGTGATGAACCAGTGGGGCAAGATTCCCCAGTGCACAGGCCTTGAGGGGGACAAGAAGAGAAGGCTGGCAGCTGCCCTGAGGGAGTGAGGGCAGTTGACGTGGATGGGTGTGCAGCAGAAGACAGGAAGACTGCTCTTATTTTAGTAAACTTTTCAATGAAGTACAATATCTAGTTAGAGGAGTGGTGGGTCGGTCTCGTGTGTACAGCTCCTACGTTTTCACCACGTGAACCTATCCATGGTAACTACCCAGATCAAGATAGTAGGTCACCACCAGCCCCAGGACTGCCCCTGGGCTGCCCCTGGAGGACATACAGGCAGAGGCCACTGGAGCATCTCTGGACCCACATGGTCAGTGGCAGGGCTGCGAATCACAGGTGGAAAGGGCACTTGGAATGCCAGGCCTGGCTTAGGGGGCAGATGCTTCCTGGAGGAGAGATTCCCTGTGGAAGGGTGGGTCACCCTTACCTTGGGTGGAGGAACTTGGAGCCACAGGATGGAATGCAAGGGGTAGTGTCCCCCCACCCTCCGAGACCCAGCTTGGGGGCCTGCCTGGAGGCAGTCAAAGCAAGGCCTGTGTTCTAGCCCCGGAAGCAAGAGAGAGAGGCTCAGGCAGTGGGCAGGGGGAGTCTGAGGGATGTGGGCAGGGCTCTCCTGCTCTTTCTCCTTTCCCTCCAGAGCTTGATGAGGCTGTGCAGCTGGAGAGAGCTACATCTGGGGGCCAGGTCAGGGTGACCCTCGTTGACGAACATTCTGTTTTTCTACTGCTGCCCTTGGTACAGTTAAGCTTCCTGTTGCCAAGGAATTTTTCTTAAAAAAAAAAGTCTAAAGAACAACAAAAAAAATCAACAACATTCAGTGTTATGTGTTGGTCTTACGCGAGAGCTCTCCTCCCTCCTCTGTCAAAGTTTCTGGTTTTAAGATATGTCAGTCCCTGGCCCGAGAGAATTTCAAGGTTTTTCTTCACCCTACGGGCATCTACGTTGCAGGATCTCAGGGTGCTCGCCCTGTGTTGTCCAATAGGAACAGCATGTGTCACATACGTAATTTAAACTTTCCTATTGGCCACATTAACTTAGTAAAAAGAAATAGAAAATAGAAAAGAAACATAAAAAATAATTTTAACAATATATTTTATTGTTATGAAAACATGCATCAGAGCTATTATTTCATCCTGTGGCACTCCAAGCCCTTGATAGCCACCTGTGGCTAGTGGCTGCCACAGCGCACTGAACAGTGCCACTGCTGGCTGCCATGCCCGCAGCCAGCTCTCTCCCAGGCCTGCTTCAGCTGGTATGGAATCTTGGTTTTGTTTTTAATTTAAAAACACGACCCATTGGGATGAGGAGTGTGCCTGCTGTAGCGTCGTTGCCCAAGGCCCCTCTCGCCTCTCTGTGCCCTCCCTGCCATGGGATTCCAGAGGCTCACTTCTCAGCCTGGCAGGTGCACGAAGCAAGCTGGCTGGCAGGTGGACGGGCACAGGGCCTGCGGCTTGCTGTCCACAAGCAGGGGCACCTCCAGGATTCAGAAGGTGGCTCCAGTGGGGCCTAGGGTTGCTGGCTTCTTGGAGCACCCAGGCTGGCAGAGCACACTGAGGTCCCCAGAAAAAGGGGACAGTCCATGTGGGCCCCTTTCAAGCCCAGATATCAGGTCCCTTTTCCACAGGGATTCACCTGCTCAGGTGAGCAGATGGGTGGTGAAGCCACTAACTTGGTGTGAGTGTCAAGAAGTGTGTTTCAATTTCTTGGCGTGTAGAGTGGGGGTAGTAACGGGGCTGTGGCGAAGACCAGGATGAGATGAGGGTGGAGAGATGCATTATTGATCGTTTGTCTGCAAGCGGCAAAGCCCCCGTGTTCGGGAAGCCGAGGGCCCAGGGGAGGACAGGTCTCCCTGGTTGCACAGCCGGCACGTGGGACCTGGGCAGGAAGCCACTGGAGGCGGAACCCGATGGCCGGTGTGGGGGGTCTGGACTGCCTTTCAGGGAAGGATGTTTGCCTGCTACGCAAAATTGTTTTTAGAAATCTTTCAATTTTATCACCTCAGTTAAAATAAACACCAGGCCATCATGTGAGATAACTTGTTTTGTGATGTTTTCAAGGACCTCAGTTTTGTCTTCCGTACTTTTTGACTCAGTTAAGACAGACTGGGGCTGAGGCTTGTGGTAACCTTGGGCAAGACGCAAGCTCTGGGATCCGGTTTCCTCTGCTTCTGTTGAGATGATGATGCGGGTTTTCCCCCTTTGCCTGTTAATAGGGTGGATTACATTGATGTTCTGAATGTTGAACCAGCTCTGAATTCCTGGGGCGATCCCCACGTGGTCCTGATGTAGTCTCCTTTGTATACATTTCTGGATTTGGACTTTTACAGCTATATTTACGAGGAATATTGGTTTGCAGTTTTCTTGTATCGTCATTGTCTGGTTTCAGTGTTAAAGTCATGCTGGCCTCATAAAGTGAGTTGGGAGGTGTTCCCTCCCTCCTCTTCTGTATTCTGGAAGATATTGTGTGGAATTGGTATTCTTTTCCCCTAAATGCTTGGTAGAATTCATACAGTGAAACCATCAGAATCTGGATCATTCTGTTTTTGGAAGGTTCCTTTAATAGACATAGAACTATTTCTTTGTGAATGGCTTGTGGTAGTTTGTGTCTTACAAGGATGGTCCATTTCATCTAAGTTATTGAATTTGTGGGTGTAGCCTGTTCACAGTGTCCCCTTATAATTTTAATGTTTGTGAGGTCAGTAGGGAGGTCCCCTTTTTTATTTCTGGAATTGGTAATTGTGTCTACTCTCCTTTTCTTGGTCAGTGTGGCTAGAAGTTTATCGATTTCATTGAAAAAACTTCCCCATTCCCCCAGAGAACCAGCTTTAGGTATGATTTTTTTTTCCCTATTTTTTTTCAATTTGATTGATTTTTGCTCGTATCTTTTAATTTTTCCTCTTGCCTGCTTTGGGTATAATTTACTCCTGTTTCTGAGGGCAAAGCTTATGTTACTGATTTGAGACTTTCCTTTGTCACTGATACAAGCTATCTCTCCCTTAGCTCTGCCTTGTCAGAATCCCACAATTTTTGATGTGTTGTATTCTCATTTTCATTCGGTTCAAAATATTTTTTAATTTCTCTTGAGCCTTCCTGCTTGACCTATGTACATATCCTTTAATGGATATCTTTCTTGGTCATTGGTTCTGGTTTTAATTCTGTGGCAGTTGGAAAACGTACTTTGTGTACTTTTTGTTCTTTTAAGACTTGTTCCGTGCCCGCTCTGCCCATGCCAGGCTGAAGGCCGGCCAGCTTACTGCCGCTGCCATCTGCTGCGTGCAGTGTGCATTCAGATCTGAGTCCTCGGCAGCATCAACCTAGCAGGCTCTGTCCTGGGCCCTGAGAGGTGAAAGTACAGAAAAGTGGCGTGACACTCAGGACTGAGCAGGGGACCGAGAGAGGTAACCCCCAGTGGAGGAAACCGGGTCCCACCATGAGTCCCACGCCCACCGATGAGGGAGCACATGAGCCATCCCAGCTTCCTGCATGTGGCCCAGGACACACATGCTGACCGAAGAATGGATGAATGAGTGAGTGTCTTCACCTTCCTGAAAGGAGTTATGGATTTGGGGAACTCGAGTAGCTGCTGGCCATGTCGTGTTGCTGTGGGATTGAGGGACACTTTAAAGCAGTGTTTCCTTCCAGGAATTGTCTGCCATCATCAGTTGTATTAGAGATCACTGTCACCCTGTGCCATTCTAAGATGGTCTCTGCTCTCCAGGGCTTGCTTGGCCTCCAATTCTAGCATTAGGGTCGGTATCTCCTCTCTGGCTCTGTTTTTGGGATGCGTGTCTTGCCTGGAAGGCCTCTCCAGAAAGTGAGCGAGGCGACCTGGGTCCTTATTAGTTGATGTTAAGCAAGCAGAGTAAAAGGGACAGACAGCCTCAGCGCCAGAACACCCCATGCACCCTGCACTTTTACACCTGGCCTTGCCTTTGTCTCATTACCCCCATCCCAGTGGAGGGAAACTTGGGCTCGGATTGGTCATGGGGGGCCTGCCGTGGTCTCTCTCAGGGGTGCTGAAGCTCTGCCCCAGCCCAG